GGGCCGAGGCGGAGCCGGCTGCAGCCCCCGTGTCTCTCTGCTTCCCTTGCAGATGCTGTCATGAGAACCCATCACTTTCGCTCTGAGGTAATTTATTTAGCACGCAATTTCAAGGTCAGAAGTTGTTCTCTTTTCCTGAAGTATAACGTGTCGTTGTGGTCTTTTGTTAAATGAAACCACCCAGCAAAACTTTTCATTTTGCATGAAAGACGCGCCATCTTCTTCCATTTCTTGGGTTTTGGGCGTTTTTGGGGTTTTTTTTTGTTTGTTTTGTTTTGGTTTGGTTTGTTTTTCCATGTAAAATGTGAGCTCTTCATTTGTGCCACCCCAACCAGCCTCCAGATTTGTGTCACTTCCCAAGCAATGGGTTACTTCAAGCAAAGCTGTGCTGGCTGTAGGTGCCCAAGGAGCGGGTCATCGACCACCCTGTCCATACGTGTGGAGCTGGTGGGTTGTGCATAGCCCAGACCTTCACCTCCCTTGCTTTGCCACCAGCCCTTGCCCACCCCCCATCAGAGAAGTTGCCCCTGGTGGGTTGTTGTGAGCTCTTCATTTGTGCCACCCCAACCAGCCTCCAGATTTGTGTCACTTCCCAAGCAATGGGTTACTTCAAGCAAAGCTGTGCTGGCTGTAGGTGCCCAAGGAGCGGGTCATCGACCACCCTGTCCATACGTGTGGAGCTGGTGGGTTGTGCAAAGCCCAGACCTTCACCTCCCTTGCTTTGCCACCAGCCCTTGCCCACCCCCCATCAGAGAAGTTGCCCCTGGTGGGTTGTGGAGCTCCCAGACCTTCACCTTCTTTGCTTTGCCACCGGCCCTTGCTTGCCTCCCATCAGAGAAGTTGCCCCTGGTGGGTTGTGCAAAGCCCAGACCTTCAGCTCCCTTTGCTTTGCCCCCAGCCCTTGCCCCATCAGGGAATTTGCCCTCCCTTGGCTTGGCCACCGCCGCGATGAGATCCCAGAAGGATCCAGACTTCCAGCAGCCTGCTTGGCAGGAGCTTCATTTTGGGACTCTTGAGCTCATAGGTCAGGAGAATCAGACCCCTTCCGCGGCAGCGCTAGAAGCATTAACGCCAAAGGCAGTCACTTCCTGGGGAAATATGGCAAGCAATATGTGTTTTAGTATCTACTTTGTTTCCGTGCTGCCCCGTAGAGCTCCTCTCTCGGTGCTTCTCCTGCCTGGTTTCCTGCTGTTGATGTTAAGGCGTTATCTTCATGCCACCGCCTCTTATGCTGGTTGCCTGGTTTCCTGCTGTCGATGTTAAGGCATAGTTATCTTCATGCCACCGCCTCTTATGCTGGAAGCCTTGAGAGAGAGTTTTGCACTCAAATGATCTTTTGTTTTAAATTATTTGCATTTTTCCTTACCCGCTTGTGGGTGAGAAAATTACCCAGTTATGAGTAATGCTCTCAGGAGTGTGCAGGGGATATGTTTTTGCAACGGGGTTCGTATTGGCAATTAGGTTGAAACTCCTAAACTGTTTTGAAATGTGTACGCACCACCGCAAGAAGAAGATGACACAGGGAGTGTCCTGTCTTTAAAGTGTGAAAAGTCTGGTTTTCACATTGCAGCCAAGCAGCGTCCCTCTGGAAAGCAAAAGTTTTTTTCATTATTTAGTTCCTCCAATACGAAATACTTGGTTTCCGTGTAAAATTCTCTCATTCTTGAGCCTATACAGAGATACAGTTGAATTTATTATGCCCTTTGGAAATCCATGTTGTCCTGTAGGGTGACTCTTAAAAGGGAAGTTTGCAAAAATAATTAATTTATTTTTATTACTTCAGCATATGGTTATTTGCATATCAGCCAGTTAGAAGTCAACTAATTTAAAATATTTCCTAGAAGCTTCCATTTGGTCTAACGTGCTAGGGGAAACCAATAAGGACTGTTACATCCTTTCGCAATTTTCTACATTTTGTTTAGACAGAGGAACACCACAGCTAATGGTCTAAACTGCCCCTTTAGGTAAGTGGTGGAGGTTTTCCCCTTCGTTATCTGATGATAGACCTTCGATTCTTCAGAGAAAACAATGACTCATTTGACATGAAATTTTCATTTCCCAATTATTATTTTTTTTTTTTATGTAAACCCTTATTTTAATGAATCTTATTGAATTGATGAATAATAAATTGCAGGCGTCCTCCCATTAAAGCATTGGCAGCTTTGCCCGAGACAGAATTGGACATTCTCATTCTGTATCAGCACAAAACGCTTCCAGCTCCAGGAAGATGTGATGAAAGCAAAGCATGAGACATGAAAACATGGGCTTTGCACAATCCCCCCCCTCCCCAAATGAACATAACATCTCAACTCCAAGTTTTACAGCTTCCGCCGTGCTTAGTTGTCTGTCAGGTGCAGATATAAATTGTGTGTTTTTTGATGATAATAAAAGGTGATGAGAAATGGGTTGATGGTAAATAACTAGCAGTTGGGTTGGGATTCAGCTCCTTGGGAGCTGGGTTCAAACCCGACCGGCGTCACACGTGAACGTGCAGGTGGTCTGGTGGCAGCGCAGGGAGAATGATCATTTCCCCTCTCCACGGAAGAGGCTGGCGATTCCTGCAGGATTGGCTGCCTGCCAGGGAAGCCTTATATTGGGAAAAATAGATGTTATGTCGAGGTTCCCTGCCAGAGGCACAGCTCTTGTGGTGCGTGCCGAACGTCGTCTTTGTCTACGTATGCAGTGAGCGTGCGTGCTGAACGTCGTCTTTGTCTACGTATGCAGTGAGGACTATTGCATCCCTTTCCTTCAGCACTGAACCCCACCTTTAAAAAACAAGACACCATACTATGGGAGGGTAAATATTAAATTTGAAAACGTATTGATGATCCTTAGCAGCTCTCCTGTTCTGAATTTGATATGCTGCTGGTGAATTGAATCCACAAAGAGTCTGCTTTTGTGGGTCTTGGTTTTGAATGCCTCTGCGAAACGTGTCTCGTTATTAAACAGCCAAAGTCTATGCAGATATTACCTATTATAGAATGAACTTAAACGCTTGACCCCCTGCCTCAAAAGGAGGCAAATTTGCATGAATCATTCTGAATATTAAGTAGGTTAAAGTCTGTCTTTGTTAGCAGGGCTTTGTTAACGGAAAAATTAACCAGCAAGACGATGTGAGGGTTTCCTGAGATAATACAGTTGTGTCTCCACCTCCCCATTTCCATTTAGTTACTACTACCTGAAGTTTGTCAGGCCTATTTTTTAAATATATTTTGATTGCAGTCCTTTTAAGTTGGTTGTGACTATAACTGCTCTTAAGATTCCTCCATCCCCCAGGTACTATCGATACGCCATGAATTCACAAAGGAATCACACCCAAAACAGTTAATGTTTCTAATCTGAGGGAGACCTAGATATGCCATGGCTGTTAAAAGAAAACAAGTAAATTTCCAACGGAAATATTCATTGCTTACTTGACAAATCAGACTTTGATGTAGCTGTTTACACTAGTCTCTCCTTTCTTTATTTTTGAGGATCAGTCGTAGAATGAAATGTCTGTGCTCGACCAAAACCACACCAAAATAACAATATAATTCAGTGAGAGTCCCAAAAATAGTCCCAAAATAGGGACCGATTCATTTGATGATGATGATTCCTTATATATTCAAAAGTGTGACTGTGATCAGTGATTAACTGACTTAATTCTTCTTGTGCCCTCTGCAGAAGTTTGGTTTTTCATTAAATACAGGATTTTTCCCTGAGTGCTTTGGGGGCTTGATACGTTTCAATGTTTAGCATCTTGCATTTACAAAGAGGTTTGAATGTCTTCTGTACTTTGCAATTTAACTTTGCAACTTAACATGTTGGTGTTGCCACTTCTTGTAATTTAAATCTCTTTCTGAATGAGTGTTCCTTATTGCCAAAGCCTCTGGAGTCATGGGATTATGTGAGATTTTTACCTTTCAATTAAAAAAGGGAGTAAGCTTCTAGCCCTGAGGCTGGAAGGAATTAATCCAAATGGTATAATTCTTAAAATTATTTGGTTTGGGGGTAAGAACTGTTGAAAAGGAAGGTTTTCGTTCAGGATCTGTAAATGGTTGGTTTTTAGGAGATTGTGAAGGGATAGTTGTGCAAACTGCTAAACCGGTAGTTCATGGTTTTCATATTATTGGAGGGAACAAAAGAATCAGCAGACTTGCAAATCTTTTGCCTGAAATTGTCTCTGAGCTTTAGAATTTTCCTTTATCTTACCTTTGAAATTAGCAGTGCTGTCATCTCAGGAACTGAAGTTTATCAGTGTCAGTGGGTAGTCACCAGCGATATGGTATCTTTTTTGTATTTATTTTGACTCATATATTTTGGGCAAGTTTGGAATCTGCTAGGAAGCCACTCCATGGGAGTTTTACGGCTCACTGTAAATTCTGACTTCACGTAACCCAGGAGCGTGGCTGGTGGGACTAGACACACCAGTAAGGCAAATGGGAGTTGACACTTTCTGGAAAGACTCTCTGGGAGGGCTGGCAGCGGGCAGTAACCACAGCTGGAGCAAAGGAATAATATTTGGTCGTTTGAGTTTTGCAGACCCCATGTTTTCTCCTTAGTTGGCTGAGCAGTCGCTACCAGGTTAACGTGTCTGCAGTCTATCGTTGTGACAAGACCGACAGCGAAATAGGTCAGCCAAGAGTGATGACGATTTTTAAGAGCAAATGAATTTGCTAAATCATCCATTATGGTACAACGGATACAAAACTATACTACAACAATCTCTGGTAAATGTATATATTGACTTTCCCAAATGATGCCCGGAAAAAGTGCTCATAAATTTATCCCTAAGCACACCTTTGCTATCACTGTCCCCCTTCTGAGGCTGACTGCGAGACAGTTGCCTAAAAATACAGTTCTAGGTATCTTACAAAACAATAATGAATAGTCTTTGAAGAGTTGCATCATAATTCATCCCCAGCATCGCAGTTATTTATAAACTGCTCCAGATCTGTACAGCTCCAATGAAAAGAGAGATCAACAGACCCTCCGAGCTGAATTTGAGTCTTCTGTTTGATGGGAGGGAGTGCATTCAAGGAGCGACAGAGATGTACAGGACTAGCAAGAAAACTATATTCATGCACCTATTCAAGGGATGTTCCTTTGTCTTTGCTGAGCTGAATCAGCCAGAA